TGATAATTTAGATTTAGTAGTTAAATAAATGTATCCAATTTATGATATTTGCCAACAAGATTGTACACACACAGTTTCTTTTTAATACAAATATGTTTAATATACAAACAGTAATATAATTTAGAATAACAGTTATTAGAAATAATGATCTATGTACAAAAGATTTACAAACTTACAAACAATATCGAGTCTTCTTTCTGGTCTGAAACTTCTTTGATGTCTTATTGAGGGTTCACGATGGGCGAATTAATTTTGAGTTCATGCAGATACAATTCACTTAACAGAGAACTAGTTATATCTGTTCTTCGTTCTTCGCCAGCCACACACGCAGAGTTGTTCACTGAAATTATATAATGTTTTCGTAAAAATACTAATGTCCGATGTGAATCTGCTGAAGTTAAATAGTTTGTAATATTCGAAATCTATAAACGTTTCTGGTCAAATATCTGAAGTTTTCGATTAATAAGCGTTATAACAATCACAGTTATAGCTTACGAAGTTTATAGCACACCAACTACAGCAAACCAATAATATACGCTGTCTTTTGGCGCGTCGCGTTGGATATATTTATAGGCGTGAGGAGAGTTTCTCGAAATTTCAGCTTACGCAACAATATAAACGATACACCAGTGTTTACGTACACACATATATTGTTGATTCTTACACTCGAGAATTTTCTACAGTTTTAGAGAGTAGGCGGGAATTTCGCAATACACATTTAACAGTGTAAAGTTATATACATTTCTAAATATAAATTTACCTTAAACAAAGATCGATATTAAAACAGATATATGATTGTAAATCCGTCACAACTTAATATTTTAAATTATCTCGGCTATGATGTTTGTGCTTCAATTTTATCGACAGATTTTGCATGTTATTTGTTTACTTGTTTGTTGTTAAACACAAAGCTGCACAATGGACTATCTGCGCTGATCTCACCACGGGTATCAAAACCCGGTATTTAGCATTCAAACTTATCGCTGAACTATTGGGGGTTTTTCAAGTTGTTAGCGATGTTTAGAATAAAAAATTCACTTTTTAACCCAAACTTTATTTTATGGCATGTCACGCTAACCTTATTTTTTAGATAAACGTCTTGAATTACTTCTAGAGACCACTAAGTAATTGACAAAAGTAAAACATTCACCCATATAGTTATTTTGTTTAAATATTCAAACTACACTCTTCGTGATACATTGAAAAACCACATAAAATCATAAAAGTACATAGGTCATTGATAACCAGAAGTTTTGAAAGCCTTTGGAATTGATTGATTGAGGCAATTTCAATTTATTATATTCTGCAGTGAATGATGCTACTAAAGTTGAGGTCACGATATTTTAATGTTCCATTTTTCTTAAGAGGCTATATAGAGATTTTTTTGTTTCGTAACTGTATAGCTTCAGTTATAACTGTATAACTTAGTTAAGCAACCTTAAAAACTTTTTAGCCATTCATAGGTACTGAGTCAAAAGTTTGGTTTTGGTTTGAATTTCGCGCAAAGCTACAAGAGGGTTATCTGCGCTAGTCGTTTCTAATTTAGCAGTGTAAGACTAGAGAATGAAGGCAGGTAGTCATCATCACCCACCGCCAACTCTTGGGCTACTCTTTTACCAACTAATAGTTGGATTGACCGTCACATTATAACGCCCCCCAAGGCTGAAAGAGCGAGCATGTTTGGTGGGACGGGGATTTGATCCCGCGACCCTCACATTGCGAGTCGAGCCATGCCGAGCAGGTCAAGCATAAAGAGGTCTGAAACTATAGTTTATTTGAACGATATTTTTTCCTAACAAGTAGGATCTAGAGAATATTTGTAAACCAATT